CTGGTGGGAACCGGGGACAGTGTGAGCAAAGGCGTGCTGGTGGGAACTGGGCGGGGGGGAGGGGGTGCAGTTAGGCCTAAACACTGGGCCAAGATCACAGCTTTGATCCTGCAGGTGGTGGCGTTTCCTCTATGTCCTGCACTATTCCCCCTGCAACCTGAGGCTCCTCTCTGCTTTTCCAGAAGCAGACTGACCCCCTTCTCACTTCCCCTTGCCTCCCAGAACTCCGAGATGCCGTTCGCCTTCACGATAAGCCGAGGATTGTGGTTGGTGCTGCTCTTTTACCTGGGGCTGCTGCCCTTCGTCCACATCCCCGAGAGGTTTTTCATCTGCTTCCTGCCCACCACCATCAATAGGTACTCACAGTGTCCCTGTTTCCCTTCTGCATCCTCCCCCAGTCCCCCACATGCTTCTGTCCTCAGATAAAGACCCCCCCACCTCAAACCCCATGATGCAGGGTCCCCAGCTCCCTGGCCATCCTCAGGGATAACCCCCAGGGTCCTCTGAAGACACTGGTTCTCAGCGAGCATTCATGAATACCATGGGGGGCGGCCACAAACCCCTTGAAACTCTATGCAAATGTGTGTTGATGTGGGTGGAGTTTTAGGACAAAGTATTCATTTATTCATCCATTCATCCAACAAATATTTATTGAGTGTCTACTCTGTTCCAGGTGCAGTTATACTAGTAAATAAGATGTGGGTGGGGTAAGGCCCCCGTGAGTTCACATAATCAATTACAGTATCATTCTCTGATTCTCAAAAGGCAAAGCAAGCTTTCTCCTGCTGGGAGACCAGGATTAACAAAGTAACAGCTGGGAAAAGTATCAGGAATCTGGATACTTCGCCAGCTCTTAAGCCCGGCCCCTCCCTTTGCTTTCTGAGAACTCTGTGGCAGCTCCAGCGCTTTCTTCTCCCGCCCTGTTGTCCCAAGGGAGGCTCCCAGCCAGTCCCCACAATCCCTTGCTACAAAGATATCATTAGACTACAGAACTTTGTGTACATAACTTTTTTTTTTTATTAGAGAGAGTGAGTACAAGCAGGGGGAGAGGCAGGCAGAGGGAGAGCGAGAAGAAGCAGACTCCCAGCAGGGAGCCCGATGTGGGACTCAATCCCAGGACCCCGGGATCATGACCTGAGCCGAAGGCAGACGCCTAACCTTCTGAGCCACCCAGGCGCCCCTGTACATAACTTTTTATACAGAGTTTGCAAAGTGTCTTCACATCCTTTAGTTGATTAGGGCTTTACCTTGCAGCAACCCGTAAGTTACAGGAATCATGACCCCCATAGTACCCATAGAGAATCTGAGGCTCGGAGAGGCTCTGGAATTTGCCCCAGGCCACACAGCTAGAACTGCAGGGCCCAAGTTTGCCTGGGTCTGACTCCAGAGCCTGCGCTGGGACATTATAAAGGGCCTCCAAAGTCATCCCTGAAGTGGGCCAATCAGGGCAAGCAGCAGACCCGTTGAGCCTTGTTCAGCCGCAGGAGGCTGGTCGGGCCCAACCACGGGACCTTCAGATTGTGCGTCCAGTTTGGCAATCAAGCTGGGTTCTGGTCTCGGCCCTGGCCCCACCACAGATGTGCTGTGACACCTTGGGCAGGTCACTTCGACTCTCCCAAACTGAGTTTCCTCTTCTGTAAAATGGCCCCGGGGGGCGGGGGGAGGACGGGCACACTCTCAGAGTATGGATGCACGGATGTGGGAGTAGACTCTCACGGAATGACAGGGGACTTGTTCATCTGGGCAACTGCAGAGATTCTTCTAGAGGAGCCAGGGTGACACTACCACACTACCACCACCCCCCCACCCCTGCGACAGAGTGAGACGCAGGGGACTGACCATGCCACCACCTCTCTGCAGGACCTACTTCCCATTTTCCTGCTCTGGGCTGAACAAGCTGGCAGCTGTGGTTTCCAAATGGTGAGGGGGCAAGAATGCTGGGTGGCGTGTCCCCATGGAGACCTCCCACTGCCCTTTGTCCCCTCTCATCAGGGCCTCTGCCAACCCCCCCCCCCCACCAGGTTAATCATGAGGAAGAGTCTGATCCGACACCTGGAACAGCGAGGAGTGCAGGTGAGGCTTGACCGCCACCTCCTGAGCAGGTGGTGGTTCGCACTTTGGGCCTAGCACAGCGTCCCGGTCACAGCTCTGCCACCAACTAACCGGGTCACCTGGCAGGTCACCTGGGAGTCTCAGTCTCTTGATCTGTGAAGTGGGGGTAATGGTATATTTGACTAGTACTTCCTAACGGCTTGATAAGTGCTAGCCGTTATGATGATGATGTATTGAACCTACTCAGGTCCTGATTCCTGAGGAGAGGGTTAATGGGGCTGGGGAAGGACCAGAGAAGGGAAAAACGGGCCCAGTCTACTCCTCGCCCCTCCCCTGGACATTCACTTTGACGAAGTCATTTAATTCGCAGACCTTTGTTGAGAACACACTGCGTTGCAGGCACCGCGGTACCAGGGAGCTTACCATCAAATCAGGGGCAGAGGCAGGAAGTGAGGTAGACAATCACAGGGCACCCAGTGGACAGAAAGGAAACAGCGCCGTGATCTGCAGGGTCAGAGGAGGCCTTCTGGAAGAAGTGAGAGGAAAGGGAGAGCGTCTCCGGCAGGAGGCTCAGCATGTGGGAGGGCCGGGAGGAGCCAGAGGCCAGGGCAGGCACTGAGTGGAGGCACTGAGCGGGTTCCGGCAGGCTGCAGTGTAGAGGAAGTGGCCGGGCGGGGCGGGGGGTGGTGGTGGTGGTGATGGTGGCTGGAGAAGGCAGCAGAGGCTGAGGCAGGCAGCCTGTGAGTGTCAGCAAGGAGCCCGGACTTCAGCCTAGAGGAAGGGAAGCTTTCGAGGGTCTGAAGCAGGGGAGAGGCCTGATCCAGTTGGGTGACCCCATTAAGGGTCACTCTGGCCACCATGTGCTGTCACTGCCAGGTGTCGGGCATAGAGGGCAAGCAGGGTTATGGGTGGAGGAGTTAGCGGGCAGGCTGGGACTCCACGGCCTGGACGCGGGGGTGAGTGAGGCGTGCGGATGACACACCTCCTTCAGATTAGCCCCCCGACTCCGAGGGTCTTCACCACAACTCAGCTTTGGACCATCATTCCCATTTGCCACGTTAAGAAACCGAGAGGCCCGGCGACTTGCCCAGGGTACCAGTACCATCCCTCCCTACCACCATGCCCACAAGAGAAGCTCCAGCAAAGGGAAGACACGGAGAAGCAGCAGACTCGGGCAGGCTGGGGGATGTTCCTCAGCCAGCTTTGCAGAGAAGAGGAAAAGGAGCTTGTGTTCGAGCAATAGATGATTTCCCTGGTGTATGTACTCTCACCTTGTCTGATTTCAGGCAGCCAACACGAAGTCATTGAGCACAGAGTTTGGGTAGTATTTCCACCTGCCACATTCAACAGATGTGACTAACCTCCCGAGCAGGGGTAATAGTAACATGTAGTAAAATAATTAGGAACAGAAGAGTTTTGAGTATTTATTACCTTCGTTTTTAAGATCGTTTACTGAATTACAGGTTTATATAATTTAGTATTTCATGATGGTTGTGTTTAATAACCAGTCTTACAAAATTCCTGACGATCCAACAATCCACCCCAGCATCCCACTGCTGGGAGGTCTCCACAGGGGAGGAGAGCTCCCACCATCTAGATGCAAGGGGAAGTTCCAGGTAAATTGTGTGAAACTATGAGCCCCTCCGTCCCCACTCAGGTGATCTTTTGGTGCCTCAACGAAGAGTCGGATTTTGAAGCAGCCTACGGCCTGGGGGCCACCGGCGTCATAACTGATTACCCTACAGCACTGAGGCGCTACCTGGACACCCGCGGAGGAGCTGCCCAGGTCTCCTAAAAGCCCGGAGGCCCTCACCCTCTCCTCTATGTCTCTTCCCCAATAAATATCTTCTTTTGAGTCACATCTTGGTGTTTGGGGGACCCGGGTGGGAGGAGATCCTAGCCTACTGCAAAGATGGCAACTGAGGGCAGAAGAGGCCAGCCTGGGGCCAGAGTTTGGGGCCCTAAGCAGCCTGACCCACTGGTTCCACCACATTCCAGACCCAGAGTAGTGCCACACCCCATGCCATCCTGGCCTCCGCTCTCCTCAGGAACGTCCCTTGCAGGAAGGAGCAAGGCCTCCTGCCCCTTCAGAGCCATGGGTTCTATTCTCCTGAGGCCATGAAGAGCGCCAGGCACACAGCAAGGGACTTCATCTGGCCCCATGGGCTGCAGAGGCTGAGTCCCCGGTGCTCATCTGCTGCCCCAGATCTAAGCCAGAAGCTCCCCCAAACTCCTCAGCCCTCTCCAGACCTAGTACCTTATTCACTGACCAAATCTCATTTCACCAACATTTGCTGACTACTCTAGGCCAGGCTGCGTCCTGTGGCCACCGCAGGCAGTAAGACAAGCCTAGTAGGGTAGAAGCCTGTGTAAACTAACCGTGCCTGCAGAGGCAAGGGCATCAAAGGAGGCTGCCTGGAAGAGGTGATGCTCAACAGTAGGAACTGGCTTTGTTCCGAGGCTTTGGCTCCCAGAGGCCTAAAGCGGATGGGCACCGTTAGCTCTTCTGTGCCAAGAGCCTTTCCCTGGTGCCTTTTGCTAGGGCAAAGACCGTGGAATCCGACCAAAGTGAATCCCGACTTTGCCTCTTCCCAGCTGGATAACCTCGGGAGAGCTGCTGGACCTCTTTGACCTCTGCTCCCCCGTTAAACGGGAACAATAGCAAAAGCCGCCTCATAGGATTGCTGCGGGGATTAAGAGTGGGGCACGGGCGGTGGCTGAACGCGATAATCATGACTCTTATTTCCTCGGGGACGTGCGTCCAGACACCATCCCCCTCCTAACCCCGCGCCAGGTCTGGCACCAAAGAGCCGGGCCCCTTCGGGGACGGCGGGAGGCCAGACACGCGACGCGCCCCGGGCCCGCGGGGCCGGCGGGCTGGGCTGCGGCCGCAGCCGCATTTCCGGGCCGGCCGGAGCGGGGAGCAGGGGGAAGGGCAGCCCGGGCCTGCGCTGGCCGCTGTGTGACGCGCCCCCTCATTTGCATGCGGCGCGCCGATTGGCCACGGCGACCGCCGGGACCGGAGGCCGGCCCCCTCCCCCTCCCGCCGCAGCGGCGGCAGCAGCTGGTCTCGGTGTAAACAAGTCGCGGCGGCTGCGAACCTGGGCCGGGGGGGACGGCGCCCACCAGGAGCGCCCCCCACTCCCAGGCCAGGCCACCCCGGCGGACCGGGTCCCCGCGCGCCCAGGCGAGGTGAGGCCCGCATCGTCAGGGCTGCGCGTCGCCCCGGGCCCCCGCCCCGCCAGCGAGGACTGCCCCCTTCCCCCGGCGCCCGCCCCCCACCCCTGCGCCCCAGGTGAGCCCCGGGGTCTCAGGTAAGGCTCCGCGATGCAGGTAAGAGCCCCTCGGCACAGACAAGGCCTCGGCGCCCCCCCAGGTAAGAGCCCGTCCCCTCCTAGGTGACCCTCCACCTTCAGTGAGGGCCTCTGCCTTCTCCAGGTGAGGAACCCTCTCCCCAGGTGAACTCCCTGTACCTCAAGTGGAGCCGCGTTCCCCCCACTCCCCACCCACCCCACCCCACCCCCGCCCTTGGCAGTTCAGGTGAGGTCCTAAGGACCTAAGGACCATCCAGTTCCTCATCCCTCCATACTTCCCCCTAAACCAGAACTGACAGCTCATCCACTCTAAAACCCCTTCCTCCACCTTCAGTAGCCAGGTCAGCAGGGGTGAGGCCGGAAGTGGATGGGTGACTCACCTCAGGCTCCTCCAAGCCTCAGTTTCCCCATGATGCAACTTGAGGCCTCCTCAGTGAGTCGAAACTGAGCCGGCTCTGGCCCCTGGAGAGAAGCTGCTGGCTCTGGGGAGAAGAGACAGCAGTCAAGTGTGACAGAGTCCCCATGGCCCTGGGTGTGCCTGCATGTATGTGGCCCGGGGCCTGACAGCCCACTCAATCCCTCCCCGGCAGGCACTGGGCTCCCTCTGCTCCCCGTGGGCTGCTCCCCGCGTGGGGCCACTGCCCCCGGCCCCCGCCATGGTGCGGATTTCAAAGCCCAAGACGTTTCAGGCCTACTTGGATGATTGTCACCGGAGGTATAGCTGTGCCCACTGCCGCGCTCACCTGGCCAACCACGACGACCTCATCTCCAAGGTAACCAGGTCACGGCTGGGGCTGGAATGAGAGGCTAGAAGGGCTACCTGGCAACTCTCCACCAATAGCCCTGACTCCCTTCCTTTCTCCCTTCCACTCTTAGTCCTTCCAGGGCAGTCAGGGGCGTGCCTACCTCTTCAACTCTGTGTGAGTATTCGGTCCCCGTTCTTTCTTTCCCTGACCTCTCTTGTGACCTGTGACCCCTGGCATCATGCCGAGACTCCCAGAGTCCCCTGATTCAGGTTGGAAGATGTGATGGCCCTTCTCTTGGATGCTAAGGACAGACACAGTTGGATACAAGCTAGAGGGGGGCTTTGTGATGGCGGGACCCTCCCTGGGACTGCCCCCATGTCCCCACAGGGTGAACGTGGGCTGCGGGCCAGCCGAGGAGCGGGTGCTGCTGACAGGCCTCCATGCTGTCGCTGACATCCACTGCGAGAACTGCAAGACAACTTTGGGCTGGAAATATGTGAGTCTGTGACCTCTGACCCCAGGCTACCGTTAACCCAACCTCACATCACCTCCTCCTCCTCACAAGGAGTCATGTGGTCCTCTTTCAGAGCGCACAGGCCCAGCTCCCACAAGTCAGACTGTCTTTTCATCCCCTGGCCATGCTGTCTTCTGTCACATCCTGCAAGGGCTTCCAGAACTTTTCTCTCCACCCATCGCTCTCCTCACCCCATCTTAGAGATGAGGCCACCATCAGAATGACCATTTATTGAGGGCTTATGGGCCATGCACTGTTGTGTGTGCTTGGCACACATTATCTCATTCCGTCGTTACAACAATCCTGTGGGTAGAATCTATTATTAACTCCACTTCACAGAAGAAAAGAAGGCCCAGAGATGTTAGGTAACTTTCCCAAGGTCACACAACTGTAAGGAACAGCATATGGACCAGAATCCTGGCTGTGTGTTTTGTTTGTTTTTAACTCCACATCCTTGACGGCCAGCTTCCACTGCCATTCAGAGGTTCAGAGAAGTTGCCCAAGACCCCACAGCAACATGGAGCTTGGGTCCATGAGCCTCCTTTTCACTGCCCTCATTGCTACAGCTGCTGTCCAGGGTCTGATTTCACTACCCTGAGTCTCATTTCCTTATCAGGCAATGGAGGAGAAAGCCACCACCTGACACCCAAAATTGTTACGGGGATCAGATTAGATGCGGCAAGAGAAGATGCTCTTGGGAAATGGCAAGGGCCAGGGCTCCTCGGGCATCACTTGGAGCTGTGGTACCTTTGTGGGGTGGATGACCCAGGCAGGCTGCCCTAACCCGAGTTCACCCTTGGCCTTGCCACACGTTTGCTCTGTGTCCCCAGATGGGTGGCTCAACCTCTCTGGACCTCTGTCATATAAAGAGATGGCCTGATCCAGAGGTCAAAAACTCAAGTGCTTGCAGGGCCAAGATACTGTGGGTCTGCAAAAGGGGCAACATAGCTCTGGGGAGGGAAGGGGCAGTCTCTGGCAAACTGGAGTGAGCCTGGCCTCACCTATATTTTGGTACTTTAAAGTTATTTTTACTAAACTCTCTGCTGGCCAAACAAAACACATTGCATAGATCAAAACAGGCCTTTAACTAAAAGTCTGTAATCCCTGGATCTTTTAGAAACTTCCATACCCTCTCTGTTGGCGCCAACATTAGTACTTAAAAAGTACCGGTAATTCAGAGAGTTTGGTCTGTCCCATTAGTGAGAAACCTGGCTCTGTCATTTACCAGCTCTGTGTCTTGTGGCCGGGTGGTCGGGCTTCTCTGCAGTTTTGTTATATGTAAAATGGGGCCAGTCATACCTGCTCCCCAACCCCGATCCCTTTTGGTAAAGCCTTTGCTCCAGGGATGATGTCTTCTCCCCTCTTTTCAGGAACAGGCCTTCGAGAGCAGCCAGAAGTACAAAGAGGGGAAGTACATCATTGAACTCAACCACATGATCAAAGACAACGGCTGGGACTGACCCCTGCTCCTGCCGCATGTGGCTCGAGCCCGGCCTGGCCGCCAGGGGGCGCCACTGGCTTCCCTCCACGAGAAGGGGGCTCTGGACCCTCAGGGCCCCTGCAGAGGAAGGATCCAGCTCCTGTACATATATTTTATTGCATGCACTGTGACCTTGGGGGGAGATCAGAAGGTGGACGACACCCCCACACCTCCCTGCGATCTGGCTGGCTTGGATCTCGTTTTTAACCCCTTCCTGCCCCGCCTGCCCTATAGATATGGCCCGTGTGCTGCTCCCCTGGCCCCGGTGCACCGTCTGCCCTGTGAACTCCTCCCACCGGGCCCCTCTTACCCCACGCGTGTCTGCTCCCCTCGTTCTGTAGCGTTTGTACATAATAAAACAATGGAGTGGAGACAGCCCCAGGCTCACGTGGAATCCGGGAAAGGGGGACTCAAATGCAGATTCCTGCCTCTGGAGACCTGTTCTTTTCTGGGCCCCACATGGCATGGGATAGGCACTGCGGTCAAAGCCAGGAGTCTGCGCGCCGGGGGCTCAGCCCTGAGACCCAGGACCGATCTCACTGCCCATGGAGCTTCCCGACCCCACTCTGCCCGCCTAGGCCTTGACCTCGGCTGATCTGCGCCGTCTCTGCTCTAGCGTTTTGCCGCCGCCTAGAGGCAAGCGCTCTGGGCCGCCGGTTTCACCGCCCCTCTCGTCGCGACTACAATTTCCAGCGGCCCCAGCGGCATCTGTCCGTTTCCTTCACACCGAGTCTCGGCGCTGGGCCTGCTGGGAAATGTAGTTCCGAGGGTTCCCCAGCGCGGGACCTTCTGGGAAACTCCGGCGCCGGCCGTCAGAGACTGTCTGAACTGTGCGTGCTTCTGCACTTTGGAGACTCTGCGGAGAGTGGAGGTTTTGCAGAATGGGAAGCAGGAAGGAAGGACTCCAGGGTTCGGGCCTCGGCTGCGGACTCCTCAAGGTCCCCAGTGCCCCGCGTAACAATAAGCTCAGGCCAAGTCCCTCCAGCCCTGCTCTTTCCCTCCAGTCATGCTTCATCCCTCCAAGCCCTGGCCTCCAAGTGAAGGGGGTTGGGGGTACCTGCTAGAAAAGTCTGGGGCGCCAAGGTCTGCCCCAGGACTCTAGGCTCCATCCCAGGGTCCAGGCCCCGCCCCTGAGTAGCTTATCCCTAGCCGGGGCTCCCCCCGTGGGAACGGGGACCAGCTGGCCGGAAGCGCCAAACTGCGTCCCTGTCGAGCCCCCGGGGATCAATCAGGCCGAGGAGTTAATTATGTAATGAGGGGGCAGGGGGTCGGAGCTAATGAAGCCTGGGGTGGGGGGGGAGAGAAGGGGAGGGTACCCAGGTATCCGGCCCCCTCTTGGACCCCTTCCAGGCCCCAGGGGTCTCCACCCCAGCCCAACTCCAGGGCCCCAAATAGGGGAGGGGCTGTGATCCTGGGTCTGGAAGGGGCTGAGCTGTGAGCTATAAAGGGGGCATCTCTCAGCACCGGGGGACTGACTCTAGGCAGCGTGACCTGAGGCCAGACAGGACTACTCCATCCATGTACCATCCACGAGAGTTGTACTCCTCCCTGGGGACAGGCTACCGCCTTGGGCCCCCCCAGCCGGGGACAGATTCCAGCTTCCCGCCTGCCCTGGCAGAGGGCTACCGCTACCCTGGTGAGCATGGGGATCAGCTCCTGTGTAGGGACCGTGGGGGGCTGTGGCCCTCTACTGGCTCCTCATTCTGCCCCCATCTCCAGATCTGGACACTCCCAAGTTGGATTGCTTCCTCTCCGGGATTGAGGCTGCTCCCTGCACCCTGGCCGCTCCCCCACCCTTGCCCCCGCTGCCCCCAGCCCTGGGCACTGAGCCGGCCCCCCCAGCCCCAGAAGCCCTTCACTCGCTCCCCGGAGTCAGCCTGAGCCTGGAGAACCGGGAGCTGTGGAAAGAGTTCAATTCTGTGGGAACAGAGATGATCATCACCAAAGCCGGGAGGTGAGGGGCTGGGCCAGGGTCAAAGGGCCCAGTGTGTTCCTGGTGGGGGTCTTTTGGGAAAGGCAGAGTTCCTGGTGATGGGGCTAGGTTTGGGGGTTGCTAGAGGGTCTAGAGCTCTGCCTAAGTTCAGGGTGCAAGTGTGGCCTGGGTCAAGGGTTACTCTAAGGCTGGATCAGGGGTCATTCGGTGGCAAGGGCCAAGGGTCAGTCTGTGGAATCTGTAGCTGATTTAAGGAACAACCTATCGCAAGGGTCCTATGTCATTCTGGGTCTGGGTCAGAAAGTCTGGCTGGGTTATAGGTTCATTTGTGGCCCAGACCGGGGGTCAGCCTGCGGCTGGAGCCAGCGTTCAGACTATGACTAGGGTCAAGGGCCAGCCAGTGACCAGCATTCAGGGAAATCTGGCCGGGATCAGGGTCAGTATATGACTAGGTCTGGGGTCACCCTGGAGGCAGGGATGTGGTCAGTGTGTGGCCCGTGTCTTTCTAGGCCGGGAGCTCGGGCCCGAGCATGCTAAGTCCTCTGCCTCGATGCAGGCAGGACATTTTTTTTTCCTGAAGCAGGTTTGGCCAGCGGTGTAGACTCTGGTGCTGGAGATTAGGTGAGGAGACCAGAGTAGGGAGCAGCAGACCCCTGGCAAGATTTTAGGGACAGAAGTGTGTCGCCACCGCTTCTGCAGTGGAGTTGGAGGGGCTAAGGAGTCAGGGGTCCGGGCTCTGCTCCTAATCTGCTGTGTGACCCTGGTCAGATCTCCTGTCTGTCCTGTTTCCCGTGTGTAAAATGGGATGAGACAAGCCTCCAGCTCGAAGACCCTGCCCTCTGAATTCTAATTCCACCTCCCTGGATGTTTCTCTGACAAAGCTGGGTGAGCCTGCGGTGGCCGTGGCCCCTGCCGGCGCTGTGCCCACTCCTGGCCAGTGGGTAGTGCCAGGCCTCTCCCATCCCCTCCCCTGTCCAGGCGCATGTTCCCTGCTTGTCGAGTATCAGTCACTGGCCTGGACCCCGAGGCCCGCTACCTGTTTCTTCTGGATGTGGTTCCAGTGGATGGGGCTCGCTACCGTTGGCAGGGCCGGCGCTGGGAGCCCAGCGGCAAGGCGGAGCCCCGCCTGCCTGACCGCGTCTACATTCACCCTGACTCTCCTGCCACGGGCGCCCACTGGATGCGGCAGCCTGTGTCTTTCCACCGTGTCAAGCTCACCAACAGCACCCTGGACCCCCACGGCCATGTGAGGCCCCGGCCGGCAGGGAGGACAGGCTGAGGGGTGGGGGTGGGGCCCCAGGCAGGGAGTCAGCTCGGTCCTTTTCTCCCAGCTGATCTTGCACTCCATGCACAAGTACCAGCCCCGCATACACCTGGTGCGGGCAGCCCAGCTCTGCAGCCAGCACTGGGGCGGCGTCGCCTCCTTCCGCTTCCCTGAGACCACATTCATCTCTGTGACAGCCTACCAGAACCCGCGGGTAAGTGACCCCGCTTGAGGGCGGCAGTGGGCCCTGCCCCCGGGGCCATGGGAGCTTTGACCCTGGATGTGTGTGTCCCCAGATCACACAGTTGAAGATCGCAGCCAATCCGTTTGCCAAGGGCTTCCGGGAGAATGGCAGAAACTGTAAGAGGTAGGCATTGTTCATTCATTCCCTCGTTCATTCAGCAAATGTTTGTGAGCTGACCACGGTGTGCCAGGAACACAGTGGTAAGTAAAGACATTTATTCACTCGTTGCTTCCTATTTGGCACCTGCTGTGTGCCAGGCACAGTTCTAGGTGCTGGAGATCCATCAGTGAACAAAACCAAAGCCCCTGCCCTAACGGGACTGATACTCGAGGGGACAGAGTAGGCAAGTAGACAGAGAGAAATACGTAAAATATAGTATGTTAGGGATAAGTTTTGAAGAGAAAAGAAATGAAGGAAGGAAGGAAGATAGGAAGGATCGGAGTGAGGTATGTATTAGATTAGAGGCCTGGACAAGTCCTGAAGGACGTATAGTGGGTATCTGAGGAAAAGCGGGACAAAGAAGCGGGAACAGCCTATGCGACGGCCCTGAGGGAGGATGGCACCTGTGGTGTGCCTGGAGTGGAAGCGGCAAGTCAGAGGCGAAGGGAAGCCACGTTACGTTGGACAGTAAAGGTTTATTGGGGACTCTGGCTCTCTCAAGGCAAGTACAGTCAGGCAGCCATTAATCAAAGGGTCACCCGAACAAATGTAAACTGTGGACAGATGTCATGAGGGAGGTTGTGTCGTGCTGTGGGAGGTCGGGAGGACTTCCTTGAGGAAGTGAGACAAGAACGGGAACTGAGACAAGGATGAGCTAAACAGGGGAGCAGGGGCAGACAGAAGAGGATTCCCGAGTCCGGCGCAAGATAGCTAATGACGGCTTGGCAAGCCAGGCGGGATGAGCTGGGTTCAGACCGTGCCCTGGCCTTCTAGCTTGGGAAGCAGTTTCCCAAATGCAATACATGCAATAGGAAAGCATTGGAAAGTTTTAAGGGAGAAATTGAGCCCAGCTCCGCCGCTTTCTAGTCACTTAATTCTCTGGCCTTCAGTTCCTTCATCTGTAAAATGGGTATAATAATGGCACCTACCCGACAGGGTCCCTGGGAGGGTGAAATGCCTGGCACCTGGCAAGTGCTGTTATTACCATCATCATCACCATCATCATCACCGTCACCATCATCATCATTGTCACTGTTCTCCAGGGAGCGAGATGCCCGTGTGAAGAGGAAACTGCGGGGCCCAGAGCCGGTAGCCGCAGAGGCCTATGGGAGTGGAGGTGAGCGTAGTCTCAGTAGTGACGGGGGCCAGTGCTCAGGTTGCCAGTCCTCCTTAGCCCAGCCTGTCCCCTCCGTCTCCCCAGATGCACCAGGCGGTCCCTGCGATTCCACGCTGGGTGGGGATGTCCGCGAGCCGGATGCAGAGCAGGCCCAGGCCCCCCGCGAAGCTGCCCCAGCCCCAGCTCCTCCGTGTGGTGGCTCCAGCGCCCAAGCCTACCTTCTGCACCCGGCGGCTTTTCATGGGGCCCCCAGTCACCTTCCAACCAGGCGAGTGGGACAAAGGCGCAGAGCTGGGCTGTTCAAGGTTGGGGGGGGTCCCTCTCCCCTGTTCTGACACCTCTCTCTCCTTCAGGAACCCCAGCTTCCCTGAGGCTCCAGACTCAGGGCGTCCGGCCCCCTACTCGGCTGCGTTCCTGGAGCTGCAGCCTGGTCCGGGGGGCTCAGGATACCCAGGGGCTGCACCCCCGGCACCCTTCGCCTCGCACTTCCTCCAGGGGGGCCCCTTCCCCCTTGCCTACCCCGGCCCTGGGGCTTACCTGGATGTGGGCTCCAAACCAATGTACTGAGCTCTCACTGGGCCCCTCCGCCTCCCTCCCTGTCTTCCATCACAGGCCTCCGCTGCCCTTCCCCCAGGCCTGCTGGCCCCATCCCCCACACCAAATGGCTGCCTGGGGCCTCCCCCACCACCCCACTTCACACTTTGATTTCACTCCCACCCACCCCGGCTTCAAAGCCCTGGCTAAGCTGCTGGGAGTCCTGCTGGGGCCAGTTTCCCCTTCCAGGCTCTCACCTCCGTGTGAATGCAGGGAGGCTCTGCCTGGCCAAATGGGGCCACTGCCCAGCACTCCCACCTCCTGGGCCTCACCCTCGGGCTCCGCAAGTTCTACCCCCTTGCCCCAGTGCAGGCCACACCAGTCTGTTCTCAGGACCAGAGTATTTTTGTTAATAAAACTTAAAAAGATCTCAGTGCTTTAGAAACGTCGGCTAATGCTGCTTAGCCCTGGGCAGGGCCGGGCCAGTGAAGGTTTTGTGGGGAGACCTGGGCCCCGATTTCGACTTGCCACTTTCCAGCTGCTTGAGCTCGTGCAGGTAAATCAACGGCTCTGGGGCTACTTCCTTTTCAGGGTAATGGGGAAATCTGAATGTCCTGACACTCACTTGTTTTGAGAATTAAATAAGGCTGCTTCTGAGAACCCAGCCCTCTACCTAGCCCGTGGCAAGCCTTCTGGGAACAGTCACTGTCACTGGACATAGACCAGGAGGCTCCGGGGCAGTCAAGGTGCTCTGCGCAACTCCCAGGTCCCAGGCCGGCGGCGCTGCTCATTATCAATCAAGTCTGACACAAACCCAAAGACCATTTTTCTCCTTTTATTAGAATTTTTTTTTCTCTCTCAAAATTTTTTATCTAAAAAAAAAAAAAAAAAAAAAAAAGGAAAAAAGAAAACCAAAAAATTATTGGAAACTCCATGGTTCAAGTGGGGAGAAAGGAGAGGAGCATGGAGCTGAGGCTCCGAGCCTCTCCAGAGAAAGTCCTCACCCTCACAGTGCCCTCTTTGGGGGGAGAGCAGAGCCCAGACGGCCCCCCACCCCCGGATGCCCAGCCTCCGTAGGGAGACGGGAGCAGAGTCACAGTGGTCCGAGGGCCAGAGAAGCTGGGAGGGGCAGGGGCTGGAGGGATCACAGGAAGTAATCGGCCACGGGCTTCTTGGAAGGGATGCCCCGGGTCTCCTGGGGAGCAGCCTCGAAGATGATGAAATCTTTCTGGAGATGCTCATCCAGCTCCAAGATGGCTGCCACGTTCCCACAGCTGCGAGCAGGAGGACGGCAGCGTCAGAGGAGTGGGTCAGCAGGGCTCCCCGCCCCCACCTCGACCTCCTGGCCCAGGCAGCTCACCGGTAGCAATAGTTGGGTGCCGACCACACAGTGAGCACAGTCTCATTGAAGTGCCACTTGTAACCTTCCATCACCAGTTGGTGGGCACGGCAGATCATGTCAATGTCGTTGGCCGCATTGAACTGGGCCACCACGTCACTGCCAAACAGGTAGCCAGCCCCGCGGGGGCTCACGCCCCAGCCTGTTGTGTCTGAGGCAAAGGAAGGTAGGGATCGGGGGGGGGGGCAGGGTGTCCTCAAGGCTTCTCTGGTGCCCACTGCCCTTCGAAAGAGAACACCCTATTTCTTTCTCCCAGTCAGGCCCATGGGGCAAGAGCCCGGGGCCCGAGTGTGTTCTGGGGAATCCTGGAGACAGGACAGCAAATGCTGGAGCAGAGAAGCTCCAAGGGAGGGAGCATTTTCTGAGAGCTGGAGCTGCCCCGTCCTCAGTGACCATGTGATTTACTGGCCAAACAGGTGTACCCGAAAGCGAAAGGAGGTGCTGATCATGACCCCGTGGGTCCAGCACGTGTGAAGAGGGCTGTCCCGGCCACCCTGGGAGGGGCAGCCAGGCAGCTGGGCAGGGCAGTGACTGAGCGGAGGCTGTGTTATCACAGAAGGAGCTCTGGACGGGTATTTGGGAGACTCGGCTTTCAATCCTGGCTCTGCTCCAGACGAGCTGGGGAACCCCACAAAAGGAGGGATCCTCATGGGGCCAGCATTCTGGGAGTCTACCCTCTGCAGAAGGTCCTTCACACTGAGGGCACAGATGGTTTTGTCCCAAACAAGCCTCTGAGCGATGATACACATGCCCAACCCCTCTCCAAGCTCAACGCACCTCCTCACCGAGGGTGCCGGTGGAGACCAGCCCCGCTCTGCTCTTCCCCACCGCCTGGCCCAACTGTCCCTTCCACACTTCAACCTTTAACTGTCCCTTTTACCACAGGAGCCCCTCAGTCTCCTGCCAAATGAAGGGGAGAGCCCGCCTGCCCCTACCCGCTCACCCGCCCTCACCTTCGGGGTCAGACCAGAGCAGGTCACACATGGGCCCATCGTGGGGCACCTCTTGCTTTCGGTCAATCGTTCGGATCTGGTCCAGGGTCTGGATAGAGGGGGAGAGGCCCCCGTGCACGCAGAAGATCTACAGGGAGACAAGAAAGGAGCAAAGGCAAGCTGGGCACCGCGTCTCTCCCACCCATGCCATCCCTGCAGGGCCCAGTGGCCGGCCTACCTTGCCATCGATGATGGCCGACAGGCTGAGGTAGTCAAAGATCTCAGTGCAGTAGCGCCACACGGTCACCGAGCCGTATTTGCGCAGACACTCGTCGTAGAAGCCATAGACCTGGGTGATCTGGCGGCTCTCATGGTTGCCCCGGATCAGGGTGATGCGGTCAGGATAGCGAACCTGCGGGCAGCCACGCACACGGGGCTGGGGTCTGGGCTCTGTCTCTCCGTCGTCACCTCACCCACCCCTCCCAGACCTCCTCACAGGTGTCAGCCCCACCCCCACGCCAAATCCTGTCATCTCATGCCTGAATCCTGCTGCATCCAGCGCGTGGGCCCCAGCCCCTCCTCTGGGGGATTTGAGGCTGACCCCTCTCCATCAACCACACACTTACTCATTCACCACCAAGTCCTTCCCCAGACCCCCAGGCGCCCTGTCATCTCGCCCACCAATGGATACTGGACCTAGGCGAACTCAATGCCCTGCCACTTTCTGAACATGGCGGCGGCGGGAGTGGGGGGGCCTCTCTTCCCTCCCCTCCAACGTGCACCTCCGACTCCTCCTCCAGGGGCCCCATCAGACGCCCCTGAGCCGAGGAGAGCGGCTCTGCCCACCCCCTAGCAAGCTGCACCCCAGCAGCACAGCTCAGAGCGGGAGGCGGATGAGGCAGGAGAGCGGGCGGAAAGGACACAGACAGCTCAGGTCTGAGGGCCCAGCTGCGGGCACCCGGAGCCCGGGTTCCCACCTTAAGTGCCAGCAGCAGGAGGAACGTTTCGACGCTGTAGAAACCGCGATCCACAAAATCCCCCATGAAGAGGTAGTTGGTCTCAGGGACGTCGCCACCCACCTGCGGCGGGGGAAGATGATTCTGCTTGGTCCCAAAATGTCCCCTACCATGGCAGCCCATTTGCCAGTCAAGTGGCAGCCCATCTTTCGGAGGGCCCACCTAACTAGAGGCCTCTCACCCACACTCCACGCACCAAGTTCAAAGCTTCCATTCTCAATGAGAGGGGTCTTCCAGTCAGCCCCCAGGTCCCCTGTCCCCAAGTCTCCACACACTTACTCTGAACAGCTCCTTGAGGTCATAGAACTGTCCATGGATGTCGCCGCACACCTGGGAAGTGAGGAGAGGCGGGTGGGAACTCAGGCAGTCTGAGAGCTCTGCTCCCAGGGACCAGCCTTCACAACACCCACTGCTTCAAGAGCGCCTTACCACTCCTGGCGAAGTCTCTACTCCTCAGGGCCAAAAATCTACTCTCCTACCCCAGCTTCGCCTGGTCTGGAATCACACCCCATCCCACACAGAGTGCCAACTATTCTGGGTGGAAGAGCTAGAGCCAGGTCTTTCCAGCTAGACCTGTAGCTTCTGGAGGACCTGGCCCCTCCTCTCCCTGTTCCCCTCAAAGAACCCAGAAGAAAGCTACTAATAACAGAATGCACAGGAACGTGTGGAGTAGAATCACTCACCATATTAAGAGGCCTTCTGCTCTGGCCAAGAGCATCCCCCCAACAAATCAAAAGAGCCTTCCCATAACATCCATTTGGTACAGCAAGGCTCCCTTGAAGCTAGGAGAGGGAGCAGATACACGGGGCTTTCTGGGCTCTCAGGGAAGAGGGGGAGACCTTGGCAGTCCCCAAGATTAAGGGGAATGCCCATGTGCCTAAAAGCCCAAGCTAGGCTCTGAAAGGACAGACGGTACTCACTGTGACCGGCGAGTCCACCCTCTGTACGTTGCTCTCCTCTACCAAGATCTCTCTGGAGACAGGAGAAAACCAGGGTCACCACAGCCAGGCCAGCCCAGCCCAATTCCACATCTTTTTGAGGGGAGGATATGAGGTACCCCTTGAATCTCTAGGGGGCAGGAGTGAGGTGTGCAAGATCCCCAGGATGGGCTGACGGGGCTTCCCCAAGGCCAACAGGCCAGAGCCCCAACTCTTAACTGCATTTAAAGCCCTTCCAAGGAGGCAGTGGCCTTCCGAGCCTTGACCCTCCCTGCTGCCCTCTGTCACACATCCAGGGCTTATTCCAGAAAACAGACCTCCTCTCCGCACAGAGCCCTCGGCTCACGCTGCTCCCTCGGCCTGGAGCGCTCTGAGACCGTGTCCCCCGTTGAGCTTACAGTCCCTCTGCCCATCACGGAGGCCTCGCCCAGACCATCCAAAGGCACCCAGTCATCAGACACACCGTCAAAGTGCTGCGCTGTGCTTTTTCCTTATTTAGAGGGAGTGACAACTTTGTTCTTTCATTTCTCCCTGCAGTGGAGTCTATTGCTATTTGAGGGTACGTGACATAAAACCACTTGGTCGATTACAGTCAATGGAAGAGGTGCCACGCTTCGAGATTTCAACCTTGATGACAGCAGCAGTGACCACTCCAGGTCACGCCGTGCCCCAGGACCGTAGTAAGAGCCTTGCATCAATGACACAACCGAAGAGCCAACCCCAAAGGCAGGTACTGTGACGCCGCCCACCGCTCAGATGAATAAACTGGCCGCAGTCCTACAGGGGGGACTTGAACCAAGAGGCCTGGCTCTGGGGTCTGACGCCTTTATCAAGCTGCTCTGGTGTGGGAGGGCCCTGGGCACTCGCCTACCTTTTTCTGCCAGCCTCCTGCTTGGAGACTAGGAGCTTCCTGAGTTCAGAGAACTCGTGGTTTTACCTATGTCCCTGAGAGCACTCTCTCTGACAAAGGCTGGAGGGAAGTGTGCTTGCTTGGCTTTGTGAGAATGAAAAGAGGCCCTGGCAGGGGTCTGAGGGCCCATTGGCAACCAGGCCCTCCCACTGGGACTGCACCTTGTGTCCAACAACCTTCCACATCAACTGCTTGTGATGACCTTCCCAGCTGACCCAGGGAGGTTCTTTGCATCCTCATCTGACAGAGAAACCGAAGCTTAGAGAAAAAAAGGGCAGGATCAAGGTCACAAAGCTGGAGAGTGAAAGAAGTGGAACTCAGGAGCCCAATCCCCTAAGAATTCGTGCCGGCTTCACCCACAGATTCCGGGTCTAACGCCCCCCACCCAGTGCTGGCAGGGCCCAGCAGGGTCTGGGAACAAGGGCCAGCCTCCGACCCCAGCTCTGTCACTCCCAGCACATCATCCGCACTCTCAGGGCTCACACCGGCCCACCCTTACTTCCGCCAACAAATGCCACCTTTAGGAAGTGCCTGCCGAAGTCGAAGTCCCAGTCCCTGTCCCTACATATGCAGAATCCCATTTGAGCTCCATAATGACATCAAAGTCTTCGAGAGGTAGAGTGACTTGACCAGGGTTACACTGTTTATAGGTGACAAAGCTGGAATTCATACTGAAGACCACCTGATTCAAACCCCCCCGCTCTGGGGCGTCTGGGCGGCTCAGTTGGTTAAGCGTCTGCCTTCAGCTCAAGTTATGATCTCAGGGTCCTGGGATCGAGCCCCGCAATCGGGCTCCCTGCTCAGTGGGGAGCACTTCTCCCTCTCCCCCTGCTCGTGTTCTCTCTGTTTCACTCTCTCAAATAAATAAATAAAATCTTAAAAAAAAAAAAACAACAAAAAACAAACCCTCTGCTCTCTTACTATGCTGATATATAGAGAAAGAGCAGAGGCTAGATCTCTAGAAGCAAGAACTAGCTACCATCACCACCAAATCAATTCAGGCCCTTGGGGCAGGATGAGTCTTACAGGAAAAAAAAAAAAAATGGTGCCAAGCAACAATTGGTTTAAGTTTCTAAAAATGCCACTCAAAACCGAGAGAACAGGGATGACTAAAAACACCTTGGGACTGGTCCAGTCAGGGAAATTTTCTTTAGCTGGCAAAACACAGAGGCACAGACATGCATTTAAAACGAGGCCTTGCCTGTTTGTCAAACAGGCCTGGTCTGGCCGCTGTGGGTCTGTCTGAGGTAGAGCCAAGCAAGAGGCTGAAAGCCACAAGTTCAGAACCCAGCTCTGCCACTTTCTCTCTGGGTGACCTCAGTCAAGAGGCCTCTAGGAGTCATGTCAAAAGTAGCAAATAGTTCCAACCTCACAAGACTGCTGTGGAGAAGACAGAAATTGCTTGTCAGTACAAGGCCTATTGTATAATAGTGGGCCTGTTGTTCAGCAAATGTATGGTCATTCTGCTGGCTCTTTCCTCATAATCTCCAGCGTGGTGCAAGCCACAAACTGTACCTCGGGGGTCTACGACCATACCACCCTGAACGCGCTCGATCTCGTCTGATCTCGGAAGCTAAGCAGGGTCGGGCCTGGTTAGTACTTGGATGGGAAACTGTACCTCGGGGGAGGCAGGTAAGTGGTCTCCTCACTGGTGCCCACACATCTCAGAGCCTCTACTCCTGCTCTCATCCTACTGGAAATGTCCTTCCTCCCTGGCCCTGCTCCCATCAGCTCTCCAAATTAGTTTCATCTTTCAAGGCCACTTTCTCTTAGAGGCCTTCTCTGGTGACGTCAGTCCTTACCGGCAATGTCCTCTTCCTACCCAGTCCTAACAGTAACACCTAAAGACTGCTGAGCACTTACATTGTACCAAGGCACTATGCTAAGCTCATCCCAAGCACCACTTTACTGGTTCTTCACACCATCTTCTTAAATACTATTATTCCCACTATACAAATGAAGACACTGTGCAGAAACCTCGAGATCACCAACACAGCCAGTTAAGTGGCAGGGTTCACATTCCAACCTAGAATCATCACATTCCAAAGCCGGAGCTCTTAACCACCACATCATCCTACTTCCCACGGGCCTCCCTTCAGTCAGATTTAATTCTACTCTGGCTTATTTGCTACCATTTCACACTGAACACGAGGTGATCCAACTCCACCATCTTGCATTAAGGCCTGAAAAGAGACAGGACATGGAGCTCTGGCTTCAGACTCCATCCCTTACTTGCTGGTTGACTCTGAACATAAAAGAGTCCTCACCTGCAAAATGGGGACAATACCACCCGCCTTTAGGGGTTGTTCTTAGAATTAAAAAGAATTTCATAAACTACAGCGTCTTTAGCTTTCCTGCCTTGAATTTCTGTGGACACCCCCTTTTATCATCTTATTCTTCAAGGCCTATCCCCAAAGTTCAGTTCCTCCAAGAAACCTCTGCTCCCCCGACAAGTAGGGTGGTCTCCCTGAGCTTCCTAAGTACTTTTTATAACTCTCTAACGCCACTGAAAACACATCACCTAATACTTTTAAGTATCTTTCTCCAGGTCTGTCTTCTCCCAACAGGCTGGTTGCTCCTCGAGGGAAGCGGCCCTAGTCTGCGTCTCTCTGGGAAAGATTCCAGGATAAGCCAGGCCCCAAGTTCTCAGCTGGGTCTGCCCCAGGTCGGAACCCCTGGGCAGCGGGGCCACCCGGCTCACCTGGCCTTAGCGCACAGGGCCTTGACTTCGCTCTCTTTGATGAGCTCGCAGCGCCGCAGTTGCTCGATCTGCCGGTCCAGGTCGCTGATCTCCGCCATGGCCCACCCCCCCGGCGCGGGTCAGAGCCGGGGCCGTCGCCCCCTCCGCACCGCACAGGGGTCTCCTGAGAAAGGCGAAGACGAGCCCGTGGATGAGAATGTCCGTAGGGGGCGCCGGGGGGAGGCAGGGAGGCAACTCCATCCTGAAGCTGGCCCGGCCCCCCCACCCTCGCCTCCCCTCACATCGGCCCCGGGACCCCCAAAGTCCCACGGCCCTGGCCGCTCCCCGCTAACTCCCGTCGAACCCCGCGGTCCCGCGCTCGGGACGGTGGCCTAGAGGGGTCTCAGACTATTACCGCCGCCGCGACTCCGGCTCCCGCTCCTAGGCTCCCTGCCTTCCTCCTTCCCTACGCTTTGGGCCGCCGCCACCGCCGCTTCTACTTCCGGCCCCGCCGCGGAAGCAAAGAGGGACCAGTTCCGCCGCGCGCCGGATGTGGCGTCATACACACCCTCCCCCTCCCGCGCCGCGCCCCTAACCCCACCTCTCGAGCTAAGAATGGAAATGAGCGACGGAACCGGATGTCCGCAGCTTGTGGGCGGGGGTGACCGGGGCCTGCGGGCCGGTGCTGGTCGGGCCGTTGGACACCTCAGTCCGCTCCCCTCGGGTCTCAGTGAGGGAAGCAAGCTGAGCTACGGCTCCGCTTGTAACTTCGTTGCACGCTTTGATTTTATGTGTGCGTCGGCCTCCCCCATTATAGTCCCTGAGGGTCACCCTTGAAGCCCCAGTGCTTAGAACACGGCCGGGCACAGTAGGCATACCTAAATATGTGTTCAGTGGACGGAGGAATCCTGTCCAAATCTCTTTCCACGGCCCCGGAGAACTCTCTGCCATAGAGGACCTCTGAAGTGAGAGGCAGAAAAGGAGGCCACCTTGCTCACACCTAGCTTACATCTCAGTCAACGTGACCTCCCTGATTCCAGAAGAGTCCCCGACATCCCTCAGTTGCTTCCTCTTGTCTGCCAAGTTGTATTCCTTTTTTTTAAGGAATCCGTTCTAGTTTCTCCACCTATCACTTACACGTTCTGGAATTCACTCTGTTAAAAAGGTCCAAAGCCCCGAACTGACACTTGAGATGATGCACACTTTGTGGTATCTGAGCCTTTACACAGGCTGCTCCCTTTTGAAGTCTTTTTTGCTATCTTCTGATGACCTTCCATTTTTATTTGCTTTACTTCGTTTCACAGAGAATTGTGAGGCTAGGTACAGAAGTGAGGCCAAAGTTTAGAGGAGCACTAAGAGTGGATTTGGTTTTGTATGTAGGCAACATGCAAATGTGCATTGAAGGAAAGGACCGAGTCCTTAAAACTCCTAGAAGGTCCTAGTCAGTTCTAGGAGCATCACTACAGGGATTCCCTTAAGGCCAGAAAGACCACAATAGTTAAGATTATTTTCTCCCTCTAGAAGGAAGCTCAGACAGCAAAGTGCCTCGTATCAGGAAATTCAGGAAATGGCAAGACTCACGAGGTCCCCAGTTATGAACAGGATCTAATTTAACAGCTCAGAAGAGCTGATTACTGCTACACCTCAGCCTAGGTGTCCGGGGAAGGGTCCAAGACATGGCTGGCACAGGGGTTAAGTGCAGGGCCTTCCTTCTGGCTACATGGAATACAGCAGCTACATTGGCTCAGGGCTTAAGCCGGAACCTGAGCCCCACAGTTCTGTCTGGGTAGCTGAGGCCCCTTTGGAAAGGGATTCCAAGTTTGTCAAGGGCTTCCCCAGCCCAAAGAAGATTAATTAAGAAGCCAGTTCTAATCCCATCCCCTGTTAAGATGGGAAAACAGACCAGCTCAACAGTGTAGATGAAGGACATATGTATTAATAATCTTGTCTTCCTCAAGAAAGGGCAATCTCAGGCAATACGGCCTTAAGCACGAAGCACCTACTTATATAGATCACTTCTGTCACCTGGGTCACAGCACTCGGGAAATGTTGGCTTTTGTCAGCGACTGTTTTTGTCACAGGGGCACCTCTTCTGCACCTCTAAATTCTGGGTCTAAAAGTGCAGCTGAGCCTAACAGTTACACACGTAGTCCCCAACTGTGAGCCTTATCAGGTGCTGCTGGCAAAAGGGGGCGAAGCCCTTGATGGTGGGAAGAAAATTTCACAAGCTCTCTTCTTGAAGCCCTGGGCAAGCGTAAAACAACGTACGAAGGTCCTCTCCCAACCCATTCGATTTTCTCCTGCCTCACAAGGACAAAGAGAAAGGACTCTTCTAGGCTCTGACACCTCCCCTGGCCCTCCCTGGCCTGAATACCAGACATGGACAGCAGACTCCCCCTTAAATAGTTGTTTATTGGCAGTGGGCTGGAAAGAGATGGAATTAGCATATACAGACAACACCACACACCAATGTCACGTGGGAGGCAAAGTGATGGGAAAGAGCAGCCTGGAGCCCCGGTGAGGCCCCCTCTTCAAGAGTGAGTGTGGGAGGGGGCAGGGGCTGGAGTGTTGAGGGGGCAGCCTTAGAACACCTCCGCTTAGTAGGCATGGTTAGAGATGAAGAGGGACTCGCTGGCTGCAGCCCCGGCCTGACCACTGGAGGTGTACTTTCCTTGGCAGGCGAGGCTGTTGGCCTAAGAGGGGAGAGGAGCCAGAGTGAGGTCTCATCAGAATTCCATCCGCCCCGACACCCTGCCCACCTCCATCCAGTCCCATCCTTACCAGGGCTCGCTTGACATACTCCTCCTGGGCAGCCTTCAGGTTCTCCTTCTTTCCACCCCAGGCCTTCAGGGCAGAAGCCTGCAGGGCTCGGCCATAGGAGAAGGTCAGGGCCCACGGCTTCAGCAGGGGGCACTTGTTGATGGCGTTGAGGTTGATGGATGCCTCCTCCTCACTCTGGCCTCCAGATAGGAAAGTGATCCCTGTAGAACAAGGGGTAAAGTGGGGTAAGTGGCTGTGGGCAAAGACCTGGGGATTGGTAGCAGCCTCTAGAAACTGACCTGAAAATCTGACCAAATGGGCTTAAAGATTACGGGTGCAGTTCATCTACCTCCCAGAGATCAAGAGGAGGATGTGGGTCTCACCAGTGACAGCGGGGGGCACTGTGCGGCGCAGGGCTGTGACAGTTGCCATGGCGATTTCCTCGTGAGAATATTTCTGGGTGCAGGCGTGGCCTGGGGTTACCATGTTGGGCTTCAGCAAAGTGCCTTCCAGGTAGATGTGGTGGTCACTCAGAGCCTTGTAGACGGCAGCCAGCACCTACAGCAGAGCAGGGCCAAGGTGGATTGGGGTGGAGTTGGGGGCAGGGTGGGGATGGGTCAGCCCCAAGGCCCCCGGCCCAGCTGCCTAGCCACCACACTGTCCAGGCAGGCAGGTACCTTACCTTCTCGGTTACATACTGACAGCGCTTCAAGTCATGGTCCCCATCAGGGAGGATCTCAGGCTCCACGATGGGCACGATGCCATTCTGTGGGATGAGGGACAGGGTAGCCATGAGGCCTCCTAACCTAGAGCCCACCTACAGCTCTCCACAGCCATCAGCCGAGATCTTCTGTCCACGATGACAGAGACTCATGGCTTCATAGCCCTCAGCGGACTGCAAGAGACAGGCATGTCCTCCAAGCCACCCACATAATCCCTCTTCTGCTCCTCTGTTCAGAGAGCCCTCGAGTATCCTCCATGGGCCCAAGCCGGACGCTTGGTGAGGATCCAGAACAGCTGCTGGGGGGGGGGGGCGGGGGCGGGGTATGTATCCTGACAGATGGGTGGCAGGCTAGCTGATACTCTGGAACCAAAGGAGGTGGGAGGTGGCCTGTTGGGGACCCATCGGCCCACCTGCTGGCAGATGCTGGCGTAACGGGCCAGAACGTTGGCATTTTCCATGATGGCAAGGGCTGAGGGGGTGTGTTCCCCAATCTTCAGGACGCAGCGCCACTTGGCAAAGTCAGCTCCATCCTTCTTGTATTGGGCACAGCGCTCAGACAGCCCATCCAGCCCTGGATGGGGAGTAGAAGAGTCAGAACATGGCGGAGGAGGGGGCGGGTGGCACCCGGAGGGGTAGGTCTGGAGGGCAGGGAGCAGAGAGCAGTTCTCACCTTGGGTGGTAGTCTCGCCATTTGTTCCTGCCAGGGGTACCACGCCCTTGTCCACCTGTGGGGGGGTGGGGTGGGCAACAACATAAGGTGGGGGAAGGGACCTCTAGTACTCCACTCTGCCCTCAACTTTCCTTAATCCCTCAAATGGTATCTCGCTTTGCAAACGTTTTCACGTAGTTACACTACCTGATCCTAGGAGACAAAATACATGGGGATGTGACTGGACAGAGCCTGGGCTCCTAGCACTTACTAACTCGCTGAGCCGCACACATCACTGCCTTGAGTTTCTGGTTTTTTTCTCTGTACGATCAAGGGAATACCGTGCTCTGAGAATTACAAGGATTAAAAACGCCAGGCAAGGGCGCCTGGCTGGCTCAGTCGGTGGAGCCTGTGACTCTTGATCTCAGGGCTGGTTGTGAGTTCAAGCCCCAGGTTGGGTGTGGGAATTACTTAAAAATGAAATATTAAAAACAGGCCAAGCGGGTCTCCTACGTTTCTAGCTTTCCTCACATATGCTTTGGAGGTGATGTGGGGCAGACCTCACCCAAGTCTCCAGACTCCCAACCCAACATCCATCGCCAGCCTACTACTCTGGCCTTCTCTCCCAGAGTGCTTGCTCACCTCTCACATCCTGAGACCCCGCCCCCTCACCTTGATGCCCACAACACCGCCCTTGGATTTGATAACTTGGGGGAAGGGACGCCCATCATCTGTCTTCTGGTAGAGCGTCTCGTGGAAGAGGATGACGCCCCCGATGCAGGGGTTCACGCGGTCGTCGGCGGTCAGCAGCAGCTGTCGGTAGAAGCGCCGGTTCTCCTCTGTGTTCTCAGTGCCGATGGACTGCAGCCGCTTGGCGATGCTCCCTGGGAGAGGGCAGCATACAGAAATAAGGGGGTCAGCCAGTCACCCTTGACCCTAGGCTCTCCTCCTACGGTGTCTTGCCCGTACCAGTGGACTCATCTGCAGCCAGGATGCCCTTGCCCGGAGCCACGATGCGGTGAGCGATGTCGGAAAGCTCCTTCTTCTGCTCCGGGGTCAGCGCTGGGTATTGGTAGGGCATGGTGCCGGTCAGTTCCTGGGCAAAGGGGGCAGACAGGGGAGGACTGGTTAGCGGGGGCTCACTGTGGGTCTTCCAACTAGCAGGGCCCCTTGCCTGGAGGTTGGGATAAAGGTTCCCTACCTCCCCTGCTCCATACCGGTGGGTATCTGGCCACTTCCTGTCCCCAGCCCTCCCCTACACCCAACTTCCCTATACTAGGCCTGCCTCCTGTACCTTTCCTAACACTGTCTGTTGCTGGGTGTTTCCCAGCTGTGGGTGGGGTGGCGTACTGGCATCTGGGGCAATGCAATAGGCCAGAGCCATGGACAGACGGGTCATGTAGAAGCCGGACCCTTCTGGCTTGCGCTCTGCCATGGGGTCACCTTGCCTAGAAGCAGAACCGAACCGGAGTAATTTAGAATTTAGAGGGGGTATGTAGGCAGAGGGCCCAACCCAAGGACCCGGAGAAGGGAAAGTTCTGTGATTCAAGTCACACAGCACAAGAGCCAGAGCTGAGATTAGAACCCAGATCTTCTGACTGCCAGGGCCTTCCAATCCACCCAAAGTCCCAGGGCTGGCCCAGGCTCCAAAGCCTCAAGGACATCCCAAGGTCAAGCTTCTCCACCAGGGTTGGGGGAGGGCGTTCGGAAAAGGGTGTTGGAAGAAAGGGTAGGAGGGTAATCAGAAGCCCAGGAACGGGCAGCAGAGGAAGCCCAGGCCGGGGTGGCGGAAATGGGTTAAGGTTTGCCGATCTCACTGCTCATACAGGGTGAGAGAATTGTAGAGAGGCAAGCGCCCCACCCCTTCCCCTGAAAATGCTCCTGTCTGCTCGCACGGCTGCAGCTGTTCCAAGCTCACCATCAAGGTCACCCAATAAGGAAAGACACGGAAAGTGTTAACTGGGCATCAGGCGCCTCCAAGGGGTTTCCCCTCCTCGCCGGGGGCGCCCACCTCCCAGGGCAGGGCCCAACCACGCTTTCCGGAACCCTGAGGCAGTTATATGAGCTGGCCCCCATCCCTTTGCTGCCTCTTAGGATCCCCGCAGAGGCAAAGGGGCCGTAATGCTTTGCACCTGGGGTCCCGGCAAGTAAAGGAGAGAGAGAACGGCCCTTCATCTCGTCCTGCTTCCTCCCTCGCCATGACGCAGCGCGCGGAGCCGCTGCATTGCGCAGCAAACCGAGCTCAAGCTGGAGAGGGTTGCGGAATCCGGGCTGAGAGCATATGTGTGGGTGGTAGTGGGACGCGGGAGATGCTGGGACCGGGGTTGGGGGAGGGGGGGTCCGGCTGCCGACGGCCCCCAGGATCCTTCTCCACGGTCCCTGACCTTCGCACATGGCGAGGGGCGCTCACCTGGCACGGGAGGGGGCGGGTTTGCGGGGTGCGGCGGTGGAGGGCGGCGGGCCGGCGAGCAGACTGAGCGAACGCGGCAGTCGTTACCAGGACCCTGGTTCTGCGACGCGTTCCAGCAGGAACGCAGCCTATTAAGCTCCGGAGGGGGCGGCGCAGGGGGCGGGCAGGAGGGAGGTGGTGCCGGGCTTTATAAAGGCACGGCGCCAGCCTCCGCCGGGTTTCTTCCCTTGAAGGGGGCGGGAGGCGCCCTGCCGTCCAATTGCAGGCGAGGATTAGTGGAGAGGCCGCCCCCGAAAGGCGAAGCCCGGAGGCGGCGCTTGGGCGGGGACAGCGCGGCGAGAACACGATCCCTCCCCCGGCCCCCTAGGACGTGACTCGGGCCACATCCTGCGGGTCGCCGGGGCCCTCCCCTCCCTCTCCCTCCCCCCCCAGTTGGCGCGTTCTGGGGCGCTGTGACTCAGCCGATTTGGGGCACCGGAGGAGATGGGGAGGGGGGAAGCGGGTACAAGAGCCTGAAAAGACGGAGGCTCAGCCTCCCCGCCCAGCCCCCGCCGGGCGGCCCGGGGCAGCCCCAGCTTCCGGCCGGCGCTGATGGCCGCGTGTGTCACGCTGTGGCACACCCGGAGGTCGGGCGTCGGCCGGCCTCGCCCGCAGACTCCCCTTGCGGGCTCAGGGGCGCGGGGCCACCCCTCCCTGGGTCACCCGCCCGCGCGGAAGAGCGGCTGCACTGGGAGGAGCCCGAGAGGGCGGCGGGGCAGCGGTTCCGGGAGGCCCGCCCGCGCGGGTGTCGGCGCCCCGGCCGCGCCCGTCGGGCTCAGGGGCTCTGGGTCCGGCGGGCCAGCCTCGCCGCGCGTGCGCAGGCGCTCTCCGCCCCGGGCCGGCGCCGACCGTCCTGCAGCAGCCACCGCTCGTCCCAGCAAGTCTGGGGATGCGGCGCCAGAAGCCCCGCGAAAACGTCTCCCTGGGACGTGACTTCCCCCTCCAAATCAAACCTGTCCCTAGCTGGTCAGCCCCCAGCTGAACCCCCCCACCCCCTCCGGCCCCCCCTGCCCCCCCCCCCCCCCCCCCCCCCCGCGCTGCGTCCCGTGGGCGCCTACCTGCGAGGAGGCAGAAGGAGCGGGCAGAGCCTGGTCAGCAGCGAGTGAGCCTGGCCGCTCCCGGGCTGGGTTATAAGGCAGCTCCCGCCCTCCCCCCAGCCCATGTCCGCAACTCCTCCGGTGACCCCTGCCCTTTCCTTGCCACGGATCCGCTGGCAGGGACCTATATTTAGGGAAACCTGAAGCCCCTGACATTCATGCCAGCGTGGGGCCTACAGTGAGGGAAGGGGGAGGAAGGCTTGGGCCTGCCCTAGTTGGGGGGCAGGGGCGGGCCCTGCCCACTCACCGGTACTTTGGAGGACATTTCCTTGGAAATCCAGTCTGAAGCCCTCAGAGGTTGTCAAGAGAAATCAGTCTTCGCACAAGAATCTATGGGGAGGGAGAAGAGGAAAGGAGACTCGGATCTGGGGCCCTCCCTGCCTCCTTCTCTATCCTCCCTCCCCTCTGGGCCCTGATGATGGCTCTTGTGATTCTGGGGAGACCATGCCTTTGGCGGGAGAGCAGATGCAGATGCAGATGCGATGCTCACCTCAAGATAACCGAGAGTCCATGGACACTGTGTGGCTGTGGTACCCCTATATCCTGATACTCCAGGCCCAAGTTCGTCCCATGAGGTGGTCTGTGGTGAGCAGTGTCTCCCACCCTCACCTTCAATTATAATAGTTTATGTGGCAAGAGGGAGAGGTGGGCAGGGTGACCTGCCAGAGCACTAGCCCCTCTCCCTCCTGGCCCTCCAAAGGGGCTGCAGTCCAAATGGCCAGGGGCTCTCTGAGTCCTGCTCTGCAGGGAGCCAGGCTCTCCGCCGCTGGTTCCCAGGCCGATGAGCTGGGCAGGCCATTTGTGGTTCCAGGGGCCTAGAGGCCCCGTCAGGGAGCGGGGCAGGGAGCGGGGCATGTGGGCCCCGGGGGCTGGCCACTCCCCAAGGGGCAGGGACTCCGGGGCCTCATCGGAGCTTGATCTGGAAGCAGAGACAGTTGAGGCTCTGGCAGTCGGGAGGCTGGCAAGCACAGGCACAGTCACAGAGCGGACAGCAGCGGGGACAGCTAGGGGCCCAACCCTGAGGGAGAGGAGAGAGGGGTGAGGGAGAGGGGCAGGAGGAAGGGCGACCAGTCCCCTAAGCTGTTTCCCTCTCCGGGGAGAAGGGAACAGAGAGGCCTGGGAAGCCACATTTGCCCAGTGGAACAGAGGGTACCATCTACCATTTCTTGAGAACAAATCAATTCCCTGTGCTGTTGAGAAATCAGCAAGGAGGCGGCGTTCCAAACAACTGAGCTCAGGAGCTGGAAGAAATTATTCAGGGGGTTCTTTCCTTCTTCCCATTTTATAGGCAAGGAGACTGAGAGATCAAGTAGCCCTGTTCCATGAAGTCCTGATGTTCAGCTTAAAGTTGGTTCTACTATATCCTTGTGGCCTCCTTCAGTTCCAAGTACGGAGACGAGGGAGAGCACACACACGTTTTCCTTCTATGATAAAAAGAACTTGGTTCTGTTTTCTTCCTTGGCATGAGACCAAACTGCAGGACCTCTTTCATTATTTCTGAGCACCTACTCCCTGCAAGGCTGTATTCATGCATGATTCTGAAAAATCTCCCAGTTGTCTTTGAAAATGGTAATTGGCAGATTTTTTTTTTTAATGTTTTCAAGAGTCCTCTCTCTTTTATTTATCAAACCTTGGGCAGGGGGCCTCTCCACAAAAGAGGAAATAGAGGCTCAGAGAGGGAGAGGCCCCTTGACTCCACTGCCCCCCAGAGCCAGAACTATCAGCTTCTTTCTGGGTCCGCGGGGACAGGGACAGTTCATCTCATGTCACCGGTGAGCTAGCACGAGGACTCATCCTCGGTAGGTATGTGAGATACAAATGAATGTCGAGTGAGTGGATGAATCAAACCATTTTCCCCTCTTTGGGCAAAGAAGAAAGAAGAGGACTCCTTAGCTCCCCGGGGGGAAAGAAGGGTCTGTCCCTTGTGACAGGAAGGGAGAACTGGTCTATTTCAGCCTACTCCTCTCCTGCCTGGTGACAGGGGTGATCTGCTACTGCTTCACGCATGGGCTGGAGTCAGGCCAAGTGGCTGGAGTGGGACACACCCCGGACGTGCCAGGAGATTGGCTCCTTGAGGCCTGAGGCCGAGCTAGCTGACAGTCCCAGTTGCACACCTCAATCAGATGCCAGGCCAAGCCAGAAATAGGGGAATGACCTTTGAAACAGCTGAGGTTTGGGGGTGCGCTGTCAGATGACTGGTGAGATCAGATATCACTAGGGGCTCCAGTGAGGGGAGGGGATCTGCTGGCTGCAGGGACAGGGGTCTGACCTGGGCTGGCGCTGCTGTCAGCAGGACTGTCTCTCGAGGAGGAGGCTACAGGCGTCATGGCGGAAGGGGGAGTGAAGCGGTTTCCTTGTATCTGACGAAGGAGTGGTTTGGGGCGTCTCTGGGGAGTCCCAGTTTGGGATGAAGTGGGCTCTGTGAGGTTTTGGAGGACCACACTGTCATTCTGTGCGCAGCACTGGTGGCTGAGAGAGGCTCTGCCACCCTCACCTCGAAGGAGAGGGTATTGAAAGCATTTCTGGGCTCTGTCCACTGTAAGGATTTAGAGCTAGTCATTAATAACTGTCTAATGGATTTCTGGACTCTCACAAGCAGCCATGTGGCTTCTGGAAGGAATCTGCTACTTTGGTACATAAACAAGAATGCCACAAGCCTGTTAACCCTTGTGTCTCTCTAGGCTCTGCAGCTTCGGCTTCGATTCCTTTCCCTGTGATTTTGTGATGGCCCGCCGTCTCTGGTGTCCAGAGCTCAGGCCCAGATTTGAATCAAATTCAGGCCCAGGTTTGGCTCACTCATGTTTTGAACCTCAGTTCGGTCATCTCTGAAACCAACAGAATGCCTGCTTCAGAGGCTCACGGTGGGGCATCAGGGGAAGGAGCTGAGCCTGATGCCTAGTACGTGGTGAGCACTCCAGAAAAGGCAGCGATTCTTGCTACAGCTCTCCGGCCCCTGCCCCGGCCAGACCTACTGGGTATGGGGCCCGGATGCCTGGCTTTGTGTCTGTCCCATCCGCACTTCTGATCACACACAGGGCTGAGAACCAACCATCGCGCTATGTATCACTTTGTTTCTCATGCTCTAACGTAACTGCCTACTTCCTCCTCTCTGTCCTTTGCTGCAGTGGAAGCCCCGTGTGGGTTGGGACCCAGTCCAGCTTCTTTCGCAGAGCCCCCAGGGCCTGGCACAGTGCCTCAACTGCACAGATCTTTAGTAGGTGAAGGAATGGGTGAATGAGTGAATGAGATCTTTGCCACATGCTTGGTGAAAGCCCAGAGCAGGCAGGTGTCTCCCCCAGAGAGGAAGAGAAATCTGGGTTTGTGTCCCGGCCTGGGCCTCAGGTAAGTCACTCCAGCCTCTGGAAGGCTGTTTCTAACAGCTGTAAAGTAGGCAAGAGCTTTGTCATATTTGTGGTTGTTACTGTTACTACAAAGAAACT